CCCCCATCGCCCATCCAGCCTCCCAAAAAGGCAAGAAACCCCCTAAAAAGCCACGCCCGGTGTCACGCGGCCGATGACGTCAAAGCCTGTCCATCACCTCCCGTCCAGCGGCACACGTGGAAGCCGAGGCGAGAAATGTTTTTCTCCCCTACATTTGTGTTACTTACCGATGATAAATACGCACAATCGATGAATAAAAAAAATGGTTTCGTTCGGCTTCTAATTAACTGCACGTTTAAATAAAAAAAATCGATACAGGAGTCTTTAAAATGATAACATTTTAGTTTCAACACCGGCGTTGCGATGCACGAGACAAATCTAATCTGCAACTCCGGCAACACGCACATGCCATTGATCGAATGGAAGGGGGGGTCAATCTGACAGCGAGAGAACTGATGCAGCATTAAGTACAGTACGCACAGGATCAGGTATCATGCCCCGGTACGAGGAAGGCTTTTTGAGCAATCTACCATGCAAATGACCCGTAAAAGGGAATTTCCCCCACCCCTTTCCAAATTCAACTTTCAATATCAAGGAAGGTATTTTCGTCCCGTAAAAGGAGCTCACAAGGGTCCTTTGAGCAATGTACGTCACGCGGCAATGCTTCAGTTTCAGAGTCGTTAATAAGCCCAGCAGATTTAATCCATTATGTTGACAACCACAAACTGATAAACACACGACGCTGCGAGGTCGCCTATACTTGGCCAAAATTTTTTTTTGGGGGGGGGGGGGGGGAGACGAAAATGGCAATACAAACTGGCCCTAGGATAGGCCACGTGGTGCTCGTACGATGCTAAAAATGTGGCATTAACCTGCCACCACTGAACAATATTGTCCCGTACACAAACATATTATCAATACGTGCCGGTGCATTGATCAAATTCTGACCAACCACAAGCTTCAAACTCAATGGTGGCGTAGGACTTTTAAAAGTTGGCCGAGGGATAGTTTACAGAAGCATGCATGAGAAGCACGACAGGACAAACAGTCCGTACAGGCCTGGGCAGTTACTGTGTGGTGCGTCATGCTGCATCCATTTTTATTTTTAAGAGACTTAGATTAATCTTGATTTGAAGCTTTCGTGACTGCAGGAATCCACACTTTTTGGTTCTTTCGGTAAAGTCACGTAGGTATAAAATAAATTAAATCACGACGTTCCGGGACGCTTGTGTTGCGCCCAAAACGTCGCGATTTCTTTTATTTTATACCTACGTGACTTTTGCCGAAAGAACCAAAAACTTAGATTAGATTGTATTTATTTATTTCGGCAGGGAGGGCCCATCGAGCCGTTAGTACAGTTCCAGTCATGGTTTTATATATAGGTCAAGATACAAAAAGGAGAGGCCATCGGCATGCGCTTTAAAAAACACGTGACAGGACCGCGGCGCGTTGCTGCGAATGCAAAGCGTCCGTATACAAAGTGGTCCTGGTAAAAGCAGCAGCAGCAGCCACATTATTGGCCGACAGGCCTCCCTCCAGTGGGATTTTGTTCAATTGGCAGCTACACTTAGCACCCCCTACCCCCCCCCATGCCTTCACGTTCTCAGTCATAGTCGATTGCCCATGGGCGCTTTGTTGACTCTTGGATTTGAGGGGGGATTCCCGCAACCGTGCAGGTCACGTGGCGGTTGTTGGCCCGCACTTCATCGAGCTGGTCAGTGAACGTCGAAGGCGGGGGAAGGCATAATTATAATAACATTGGATTTTGAAGCACTGCCATTTGCTGCAAACTATGAAGCCCCGCAAGCCTATAGCACCTGTTGGGTGTGGTGGTTACTATCCAGTCTAAAAAGAAAAGGCCCTGCTCGGTGTCGGCAAATTTACCGAAATTGGGCGCGTTCCGGGCAATTGGGGTCATAGGCACCGGTAAATCGTAAGCACAGTGCGCAACAGTGTGCAGCCAACTCCAACGTCTCGGAGTAGGCCGTTTACTACTTTGATTAATTATTCCTCCTCTCATCATTGGAATATCAGCCATAGCACAGGTCATGCCAACGCCGTGTTAGGGCATTTGACTCTCCAGGCGTGCGCCCTCTTGCGGGTGCATACGATGTGTTACATCAGAATACGACCAAAACACTTTTTTTTTTAACCAAATCTTTGAGAATTATTCGCAATTCATTAACTGCCCAGCAATATCTCCGATATTTCTTTAATCAACCTTCATTAGTTCGCACCGTACAACGGGAGAGATCTCCCAGAAGGCATTACAATGTCTGAAGTTTCCATTGAACAGACAACTTATATTCAGTCGTTCTCTTCACAAGGCGAATAATTGTGGCTCACAGCCACCGTGTTGGCCCTGATTAGAGTGGGCTTAGACGATTTTAAATTGAGAATCGTTGCGAATTTACACGCGCGTTTTTCGTGGCGTATCCTAGCATATGCACGGTGCGAAAGAAGCTCAACATACGTTACCGTGGCCAAAGCTTTTCTCCAATAAAAAAGGGACTGGACAAACATGGCATGGCAAGCTTTCCTGCGGCTCCCAAATGCAGAGCAGATTGGCCTCGTTTCCTTTGAATATCTGAGAAGCTGATCATAACTGGAACGGGGGGGGGGGGGGGTTAATGTCAAATATCAAATAGCGTACAACGATAATGCAGGCACACTTGTCGAGAGGCTGCGATAATAATGTGCACAATTTAATTAAGTGCGGTTCCTAATGGCACACTGGAACCTAATCAAGCCGTTGATCAGCGATGGGCTTCACTAGTGCGCCCACAGCTCAATAACAAGCAGGCATAAGTGCCACACTGCCAACCGATAAAAAATCCATAGCTGTGCAAGACGGGTCCCCACCACAGCAATGTGGAAGTTCCACCTCTTGTTCAGAACATCCAATAGCGATAAGCACCACCCAACAGCTTGGAGTATGAACAAACTCCCGGATATATATTTTAATGCCAGTACTAGGATAGTGTTCGATTGTTTTGGGTTGATCTGAAAAAATATCTACAAATGAGCCCTAGATAGGGATTTGTAAAATGAGTTTTGGAGAGAATGGATGGCGTCACAGCAAACTGCCACCGATATCCCGCGACATCTGTATCTTTCTTGCCAAGCGATGTCACACAGCATCGGGTGACACCACTTTTGTTAGAATGGAGTGCACTAGATTCTATAAAAAAAGAAATAAACAATCTATAAAGACCCGAAATTGTCCTAAAAAAAACGCATCTCCCCCACCGATTCATAAACAGACTTTTGGGTGAGATTGCACAAGCTACAAGGTGCGTGCCATAAAACCCTCCTTCACCCGACACAGCCCAATGAATGATGAAGCTGTTGCACAACACAGGTGGCATTTCTCGATTGCGATCCACGCACAATTGGGTGCAAACGTTTCGCTGGTGGCGATAAAGCAGTAGCAGCAGTAGCAGCAGCAGCAGCAGACAGTTGCCAAATGGTACTTGTGCCATCCGACCAAAAAAAAAAGACTATTTAGAATCATAAATATCGCTTGAAGGCCTCCACATGTTATATACTGTGTATATATATAAAAAAAATAACCTTGGGACCCAGGCCAAATACTGCGTCTGTCAAAAGGACAATCCGGCTGTTGAACCTCGGCCGGTCAGGTTTTTATTAGTTATTCCTAAAGAGAAGCGTGTCGCGTGACGAAACGAGCAGTTGGTGCGCACGCGCGGACACGAGCAGGGATTCCGCGAATTCGCACACGCTGCACGTGCCGCGCCACCAGAGGAGCCTCCTCCGCGATGATGTCGTTGAACGCCAGGGGGGAAAAAGCTTCGAATGGATCGTCGGTTAAAAAAGAAAAAAAAAGAGGTGCTGGCAGAAAAACAAGAAAAAAAAAACGGGAGGAGTTGAGGAGCCGCGCCTGCACGCGCACATTCCAAAAACAAAAAAAAGGGAACCGAATCTGGCACAGAAAGAAAACGAACACCGGCGATGAAGTTGCCCCGGCTATGCGGTTTCACTTTCGGCTGCGGTACGAACCCCTTGAGCCTACACAGCGAAGCCTGTTGTTGTGCCCAACTGCCTCGAGCTGGTTTTAATGATAATCGCTCAGCATTTATTTGCGTACGCAGGAAAGCCTCGCGGTGGTAAGTGACCCCACCTCCCCCCCCCACCGCCTGCCAAGTCCGCTTGGGAGGAACCTCCCAATTCCCTTAAGGGTATTTCTACATGGGAGCAAATTGGGGGGGGGGGGCGGGGGGAGCCGAGAGAAAATACAAAAACACGGAGGGAAGAACGTCAGAACTATCGCACGTAGAACTAAAACCATGCCGGGAAGAGGCTCCAACAGGAGGGAGCTCTAGGAGCACCTCGAGAGGCGATTTGGTCTCCACCTTTCAGTAACCCCCCCTCCCCCACCCCCCGACACTCCTACCCCACGACCTCCCCACCTGCCGCTGGACTAAACTTGTCCGCATCACGTCTCACGGAGACACCTTGCTGCGCATACGCGTGCGATGTTGTTTTGCCATCTCGGTGTGGTTCACCAACCCTGCAAACAAATTGCTGGAGTTGAGAGTGGAATGGGGACAGCGAAACAACAACCCCAACACCCTTTGCTGAGCGCGAGTGCCTTGGAAGCTCCCAGGGCACGGGCGTGGAACTGGGCGCGACGTTGACCGCGGATAAGAGGGTTGTGAAAACTTCATTTGAAGTATTTGTGACTGCACGTGACAGCAGCCGAGCGGTGTCAGTCCCAGAAGTCCGTGTGGCCGATGGGTTGTGTTAAAAAAAAGTTTAAAAAAAGTTTAGGTCGAGCGAATTGTCGGACATCGCGCGGCACAACCCGGATTGCATCGGGGCAGCCGCACAGCGCAAGCTACACTCGCTTTTGGTTTGTCGTCCCCCCCCCAACCCCGCACCTCCGATTAGCACGGTCGACGACGCACGGTGCGAAAGAAGTCTCAAAGCAACGCACGTGCGTACGTTCGTCACGTCAGGGTCGAGTCGCGGGGCTTGCGTTTGTGTTTTTTTTGGCGGCGGCGGCGACGACGTGCGGCGAGTTCCTCGTTCGCGCCTACCGGAGACGCCGGCTGCACAGTAGGCGCCCATGGTGACGGCGAAGCCGAAGGCGAGGTTGATGGTGAGGAACCGCCCCTTGGTGCCGTCGCTCAGCTCCACCTGCGCCACCGATCCGCAGCCAAACAGCTGCGTGGCAGGGTGGGGGGGAGGGGGGAGAGTGTCACACGGGGCCACACGGGTGGGGTGGGAAGAGTCGCGGCTTAACTTGAGCGAAGTTTGAGGTTTTGAGAGTCGATGCCCATCCCGGGGCTGCTCCCACGTTTAGCCGCGGCGCGGCCCCGTTATTACCTCCGTCGCCTCAGAGCTTCATCCCCCCCCAACCCCCCCTTTGCCCGCGCACACCCTGGCCCCGTCGGCCACACACGCACACGCACGCACAGGCACAGGCAGGCAAGGGGCACACGCCCACACATGAGCTCACCCGGCGATGCCGTCACCTGCTCGGCCGAACAAATCGCAGATTAGATTTTTTTTTAAAGTTCCATGAAGCGCACATTTTATGGTCGACGACAGCCAACTTAATCACTCGTCGCAAACTAATGAAGGCCCCTACGAGCCCCGGCCCACAGCAACGCTGCCCGCACCACAGAAACGCATCACAAAATGTCAACGAGACGATGCGTGGTCAATTACTGTGCTCGTCGTCCCGATTTGTGGCGGACAGAACGATGGCGATGTTTTTGACGGCGACGCGCCCGTTTTTCCTGCAGGGTTGGCAGAGTTTGCCCTCGTTAAGAGATTAAGGGGGTCAACCCTTACTCCAATGCAGCGTTGGGGGGGGGGGGGGGTAGGCACTCATCCTCCCCCCGGGGAGGAGTCGGTTGGGAGCAACTCCACACTCCTGTTGCAGGGGACGAGTCCATCCGTGCACGGCACAACCACGCACCGAGGACTACCCAACAAGGTGGCATGCGTCAACCTCACACGGGAGCCATCGAGCCAGCTCCACTCTCGAGCGGGGGTTTATAACGTGGCAACATTCTGGTTGCGAGTCCCCTAAGCAGCGCTACGGGGCAAAGGTCGTTCGCAATTGGGGTGGGGGGGGGGAGTTGGTGTTTGGCGCAAGCGACACTACCAAACAAATGCTCAGGGCCTCAAGCAGCTCAAGGGGGGGGGGGTGTCCCTGGATTCGTGAAAAGGGGGTGCGCATAAACCTCTCAACTCAAGTTTAAAATCTATAAAAACAAAGCAAGCCAATTAATAATATCTAATCTCACTACATATCTTTATTGTCTAAATTTCTCGGATCTCAGTAGGTCTCCATCGCTTGTCAACATCCTTTGTCATCTCAAAAAGTATGCTACACTTATCCGCCACCCCCCCCCCCCCCCCATATGGGGGGCTCGCACCACTACTGAAAAGTAATGTGGAATTGTCCTCGACAGCCTCAGGGACTGATAATGATGGCGAGTCGCAGCCCAGCAAAAAATCACCCGAATCTGAATATTGATTTATACCGGAGGAATCGCTGGACCAGGGGGAGATGCAGCTCTTGCACAGATGCAATGACCCTAAGGGTGTGGCAGTGGACGCCCCCGCCGTTCCACGCTGGGTGCGAACGTAAATCTAAAGGGCCTTTTGTGTGCGCATGACCACCTGCCCCTGAACGGAGTGGAGAAACCGCGCCGCTCATATTAATTGCCCCAGTGGTGCAATGCAACACAGAGACCGAGTGGAACCCAAGCGCCGTGCAGCAGAGCAGGTGTTGGTCACCCTCGCGCCTCGAACAAGCCAGGTCACGACAGGCAACTTCTCTTAGCACAACAACGAGCAAACTTTACTCAAACTCGACTAACCGCTTTAACCACGATTTAACTAGCATCCTACAAACGCTTACCACGAGTAAAAACCATCGCATTGACTAATAGCCGAGCAGCCCTTACAATAAATCAATCAGCGACCCCTCAACGAAGCCACCCACCAGCAGCTCGACCCGAGTTCGAGTCCTGGCCGTGGCCAATGTCAGAAGTGAACGAACTCGACCCTCCCCCAACCCGCATTGACAAGTGTGGCGAAGTCAAACAACCATCGCTCACGAAGAACGTGGCTTGGAGAGGGGAGGGGTGTGGGGGCGGGGCTTCTTCCAGCAGTAGATTGACACAGGCGGCTGTGTTTTAAAATTGTTTTTTTATTACTTTTAAAAAAGGAGAGCATTTTTTTTCTTCCGTTTAATTATAACCACCAGATTCAAATAATTAAATAAACACGGCGCTATACGCTTGCGGGTTGTTCCAAAAGAATGCAACTCAAAGCATAAAATCCTTTCCCCCTTCGTGGGCATACGAACAGAATCCACCTGCACAGATCGTACAGGGCGGCAGTGGTAGCGGCCCAACGGGCAGCTTGTTCGCTGCTTCTCGCAGAGGTTCGCAGTTCGGCTCCCGCGGGCAGCCCCGGTTAACGCCGCGGGTGTAATTAACCGTAAATACGCACCTCCTGCTTTGCAGTGAACGGTTAAAAATAATCCCTCGACGTCATTTGGTGGAAAGGAAAAAAGAAAGAGCGGCTGTGTTCTGTGCCGGAGTCACGGTCCACTTTTCCATGTTGAAAACTTGCACCGCAAATTGCTCAATTGGAGGAGGTCGAGAGCAATCATCACCTGCCTACTGGCGGAATAATGCCCACCATGCCAGGCCGGTGCAGACTCGCCTTGTGCCACAGACAGGGTTAAAAGCTGACATTCAGAGGGGTCCTCCCTATGGATAACCACGCCCCCACCCCCCAACAACCTTACTTAGAGGACGTTTTATTATACTATGGGCACAAACTGAATGCAAGTACCCTTATTACTTTCATAATCACGGGACCTTTTTTAGCCAGAATCAAACAACAAAAAATATGAATAGGTTTTACCCATTCTGGCAATAAAACAATATCCATGATATTAGTTGCTCAACCCGAGCTACAAATGTACCGACACATACATTGTCTTTTTACTGTTTGCCTTTTGGGTTTCCAGCCTCAGCAGCTCTGCTGTGTTTGTCTCACCCGATGACGATTGCTTGTGTTGTGGTCGAAACGTTGTGACCTATTGTTTTTTTCTACCTACGTGACTTTACCGAAATAACCAAAGAGTATGGATTCCTGCAGTCACGAAAGCTTAAAAAAAAAGATTATCTTTTTACTGTTCGCCTTGTTGGCGTTCTCTGGGCTGACAACACTTCTGAGACGAGGCCATTACGGCGACTGCCGTCGCTGGCGTAGGCCAATCAGTTTCAAAGACAACGCAATTAGCAGAGAATGTTTGTTTGTTTGCATGTTCACCACAAGGACGTGTGGTTAATGCACATTTGATTCCATGCAAAAGGTGTCTATTTGGTGTTTGAACATTTGAATACCTCCCCGTTCTATTCCCAGAAAGGGTTTCATACCCCTATTATTATTACTACTTACTACACCCTACAGGACACTATCAGTGCCCTCCATAGACTGCGCTGTGCACAGGTGTTTAGTCTATTCTAGTACTGGTTTCATACCCCTATTATTATTACTACTACTACACCCTACAGGACACTATCAGTGCCCTCCATAGACTGCGCTGTGCACAGGTGTTTAGAGAATTGGCGGGTGCGTGTTGGGGGGGGGGGGGGGGGGGGCTCGTGAAAGTTTCTCTGTACTCACGACGAGAAGGAAGGTTCCCATGAACTCGGCCAAGGCCTCACGGATCATCACGTTCTTCACGTGCAGCTTGCGCTCCAGCTGCTTGAAGCGACCATCGTGCGACGGCATGTCTGCAACCGCACACGCGCACAGGGTGAACGTACCGACGCGAAAAAGAGGGCGAATGTATACGGACCAACACAGACAAAGAGGGTGAACATACACGCACGTATGGATAATGGATAATGTATGCATGTTGAAATTATTTCACACCGTACGTAGCCAACCGTGCTAATCGGAGGTGCGAGGTGCACACCGAGACAGAGACAAAGATCCACTGTATAGCCGAAGCAGACTGTTGGGGCAAGTGCTGTTAGCGAGCACCTATGAAGGCCGGCACAGCACACTAGGGGGTGGGTGACCAACACCACGCCCGGCCGCCTTTGTCTACCTAGTGACGATGTTTACACATTGCACAATGTACTTATTTGAGGCCGAGTCGACCTAGGCGAGGCCCAGGACCGGTTCAGATAATCGTCAATGGTGTGGGCCGTGAGCAAGAATCGAACCCGGGTCGCTAGGTAAGTAACGCAGCGCGCCAACCGCTACAACACCGCACACACACGTGCATGTGCACACCGACACAACAACAACAGCCGCCATTCGCCACTAAGTGGCGGTGACGTCATCACGACGCTTGTGCCAGGCTAGGTGCACGTTGAGGCCACCTGAAGTGTCGAACGCCCGCTGGCAGGAGGTCACGGGGCAGACCCAGCAGGTGCCACGGGTCGACTGACTGAGATGACTGGCTGATGCACCACCTGTGCCCCCTATTGTGCCAACTTTGCTGTATTTTAGCCACCCGGCGCTCCACTCGTTGTTGTGAGCGTCGCTCCTCCCCCCTCCGTAGTTGTTGTAGGGCGGCTGCCTCCAACTGGCCAGTAGCATCCTTCACGAGCCTCCTCCACAGAGGCCGATCTTGACACCGCTGGTACCAGTCATCGGTAAGTCCACTTAGCTCCACATCCTCTTGTGCAACATAATTCCATCTCTTCTCTAACCCATGCCTCGCCCATTTAGCCTCCTCGATCCGGCCGAACAAAAGCTGTTTCGGCATGCGGTGGCTGGGCATGCGGGCTACATGACCCAGCCAACGCAGCCTTGCCTGCCGGAGGAGCTCACCGATGGGACCTTGCCCAGATCTTTCAAGGATTTGTGAGCTCCTCACACAATCCAGCCTGGTTAAACCCAGGATGGATCGTAGGCAGGCCAGCCTAAATGTTTCTAACCGGTGAAAATGTTCCATTAGGGGGGTCCACGTTTCGCAAGCGTAGGAAAAGGAGGGAATCACTGCAGCCGAGAAGACCTGGAGCGACAGACCAGGTAGCTTCCACACAGCGTTACGCAACCGATGAAAAGATATTGCCGCTCGACTGATTCGGATTGAGACCTCTGCTATCAAACCAGAGCTGGTCATGAGCACACTGCCCAGGTTTGGGAAACTCTTCACACTCTCCACAAATGCCCTATTACCAATTGGGAGTTGTGGGGGTGGAGTGTCCAATGGTACAAAATACCCAGGCAGGTGATTCGTTTTTTTGGTGGGGCTGATGGTAAGGTCCCACCCTCTTCGTGGCAAGTTCCAGGTTCAGCAGCAGCGCCTCCAACTCCTCCTCTGAGTGAGCAGCAATCACCAGATCATCGGCATACATAACATGATTGACCAATAGCGAGCCATCCCTTGACCGCACCCGGGTATCGATCAGCCTCCCATTGTTTCTGTACCAGATGGAAATTCCTCCGGTACAGCTATTGAAGGCTTCACGAACTACGTGGTCGAAATAGATGTTAAATAATGTGGGACGCAGAGGATATCCCTGTCGTACCCCAAAGTGAACAGGGAATGGCTCAGAATCCCGGCCACGTAGTTTTACCCGGGACCGCTCACCATCATGAAGGTCCTTAATGATCGTGAGCTGCGGGTCAGCGACTCGGAAAGCACAAATAACATCCCAGAGCCCAGGGCTACTGATGGTGTTATAGCCCTTGACCAGGTCACTAAAACAGAGATGCAGGTCTTGTTGGAATTCCCTACACCTCTGCTGTAGCAGACGGATAGAAAATATGGCATATGTGCAGGACCCCCCTTTCCCGAAATCCCATTGGGGCTCCGCAAGCCTCTCTTAAGCATGCCTGGCAAGGCGATGTTGAATAATCCTTGCCAGGACCTCTCGGCACACTGAGGAGTGAGATTCCCCTGTAGTTGTTACAGTCTGAGGTCCCCCTTCCAATCCTGTGGAACCTGTCCAGTGGTCCAGACTGTTATGATGTCATGTAGGGCAGCATGTGCACAAATGCCAGCCTCCTTCAGCATTTCGCTTGAGAGATCATCTCTGCCCGGTGCTTTTCCTGGTCTCAGACTCCGAATCGCCTTCAGTACTTCCTCAAGAGATGGCACCTCAGCCAGCCACTCACAGAGGATGACTACTTTAACTCCTCTGTCAGCCAGGGTCTCTGGGGAGGTCTGGACCGTGTACCCAAAGCAGCCATTGCAGCTGCATGAGCCACAGTCCTAAACCTCGCACATTTCTCCTCGGCATCAGGAGGAGCGGGGGAAGTTGCCAACCCCAGCCGCAAGCATGATCAAATTCTCGCTTGCAACGTTCATCAGCTAGGTGAGAGCAGGCCACTGTGGGTTTAAATGGGGTCCTGGGCGTACACCCACCACCGGAGTGGAAGCATGGCAGGCGCATCTTACAGATGACAAGTCGATGGTCAGTGGGCAGATCAGCTCCACGGTAGATCCTGACGTCAATGCCATGGGCCCGCATCCGCTGTTCCGTCACTATGTAGTCCAGAGGATGTTATTGCTTGGACACGCGCGTGCTCGTGTGGGGTGCGAACCCCCACGCGTGTGATGCCGAGGGAAAATGTGGGAGGTTTAGCACTGTGACTCATGCAGCTGCAATAGGGTGCACGCACCGACACACACACACGGAGCACGCACCGACACACACACACACACACACGGGGCACGCACCGACACACACACACACAGGGGGCACGCACCGACACACACACACACAGGGTGCACGCACCGACACACACACACACAGGGTGCACGCACCGACACACACACACACACACAGGGTGCACGCACCGACACACACACACACGGAGCACGCACCGACACACACACACACGGGGCACGCACCGACACATACACACAGAGGGGGCACGCACCGACACATACACACAGAGGGTGCACACCGACACATACACACAGAGGGTGCACACCGACACATACACACAGAGGGTGCACACCGACACATACACACAGAGGGTGCACACCGACACATACACACAGAGGGTGCACACCGACACATACACACAGAGGGTGCACACCGACACATACACACAGAGGGTGCACACCGACACATACACACAGAGGGTGCACACCGACACACACACACAGAGGGTGCACACCGACACACACACACACACAGAGGGTGCACACCGACACACACACACACACAGAGGGTGCACACCGACACACACACACACACAGAGGGTGCACACCGACACACACACACAGAGGATGTACACCGACACACACAGAGGGTGCACACCGACACGCACACACAGGGTGCACACCGACACACACACACAGGGTGCACACCGACACACACACACACAGGGTGCACACCGACACACACACACAGAGGGTGCACACCGACACACACACACAGAGGGTGCACACCGACACACACACACACAGAGGGTGCACACCGACACACACACACACACACAGAGGGTGCACACCGACACACACACACACACACAGAGGGTGCACACCGACACACACACACACACACAGAGGGTGCACACCGACACACACACACACACACAGAGGGTGCACACCGAGACACACACACACACACAGAGGGTGCACACCGACACACACACACACACACAGAGGGTGCACACCGACACACACACACACACACAGAGGGTGCACACCGACACACACACACACACACAGAGGGTGCACACCGACACACACACACACACACAGAGGGTGCACACCGACACACACACACACACAGAGGGTGCACACCGACACACACACACACACAGAGGGTGCACACCGACACACACACACACACAGAGGGTGCACACCGACACACACACACACACAGGGTGAACACCGACACACACACACACACAGAGGGTGCACACCGACACACACACACACACAGAGGGTGCACACCGACACACACACACAGAGGGTGTACACCGACACACACACACAGAGGGTGTACACCGACACACACACACACACAGGGTGAACACCGACACACACACACACAGGGTGAACACCGACACACACACACACAGGGTGAACACCGACACACACACACACAGGGTGAACACCGACACACACACACACACAGGGTGAACACCGACACACACACACACACAGAGGGTGCACACCGACACACACACACACAGAGGGTGCACACCGACACACACACACAGAGGGTGTACACCGACACACACACACAGAGGGTGTACACCGACACACACACACACACAGGGTGAACACCGACACACACACACACAGGGTGAACACCGACACACACACACACAGGGTGAACACCGACACACACACACACAGGGTGCACACCGACACACACACACACAGGGTGCACACCGACACACACACACACACACAGGGTGTACACCGACACACACACACAGAGGGTGTACACCGACACACACACAGGGTGAACACCGACACACACACACAGAGGGTGCACACCGACACACACACACAGAGGGTGCACACCGACACACACACACAGAGGGTGCACACCGACACACACACACACAGAGGGTGCACACCGACACACACACACACAGAGGGTGCACACCGACACACACACACACAGAGGGTGCACACCGACACACACACACACAGAGGGTGCACACCGACACACACACACACAGGGTGCACACCGACACACACACACACACAGGGTGCACACCGACACACACACACACACAGGGTGCACACCGACACACACACACACACAGGGTGCACACCGACACACACACACACACAGGGTGCACACCGACACACACACACACACAGGGTGCACACCGACACACACACACACAGGGTGCACACCGACACACACACACACAGGGTGCACACCGACACACACACACACAGGGTGCACACCGACACACACACACACAGGGTGCACACCGACACACACACACACAGGGTGCACACCGACACACACACACACAGGGTGCACACCGACACACACACACACAGGGTGCACACCGACACACACACACACAGGGTGCACACCGACACACACACACACAGGGTGCACACCGACACACACACACACAGGGTGCACACCGACACACACACACACAGGGTGCACACCGACACACACACACACAGAGGGTGCACACCGACACACACACACACAGAGGGTGCACACCGACACACACACACACAGGGTGCACACCGACACACACACACACAGAGGGTGCACACCGACACACACACACACAGAGGGTGTACACCGACACACACACACACAGAGGGTGTACACCGACACACACACACAGAGGGTGTACACCGACACACACACACAGAGGGTGTACACCGACACACACACACACACACAGAGGGTGTACACCGACACACACACACACACACAGAGGGTGTACACCGACACACACACACACAGAGGGTGTACACCGACACACACACACACACACAGAGGGTGTACACCGACACACACACACACACACAGAGGGTGTACACCGACACACACACACACACACAGAGGGTGTACACCGACACACACACACACACACAGAGGGTGTACACCGACACACACACACACACAGAGGGTGTACACCGACACACACACACACACACAGAGGGTGTACACCGACACACACACACACACACAGAGGGTGTACACCGACACACACACACACACAGAGGGTGTACACCGACACACACACACACACAGAGGGTGTACACCGACACACACACACACACAGAGGGTGTACACCGACACACACACACACACAGAGGGTGTACACCGACACACACACACAGAGGGTGTACACCGACACACACACACAGAGGGTGTACACCGACACACACACACACACAGAGGGTGTACACCGACACACACACACAGGGTGCACACCGACACACACACAGAGGGTGCACACCGACACACACACACGGAGCACGCACCGACACACACACGGAGCGTGCGCACCGACACACACACACAGGGTGCACACCGACACACACACACAGGGTGCACACCGACACACACACACACACAGGGTGAACACCGACACACACACACAGGGTGAACACCTAACGTCGCCTAAACGTTACTAGATATAAACAGTAAGACTCCGACAATCGTGCACGTTTGAACCCAAACGAGTAACGCGAATTAATAAAACTACCGTCATACTAGTCCACACTTTGAACAACCTGTAGCGCGTCGACTTTGCACCGTGCCACTATTATGAAACAACTTCGTGTAGATCTCTCAACAGTGAAACCACGCTCTCAATTCGCCAAACTCCCTGAGCTGCCCTTCACGGACACCTTGTGTGGCTTCCTCCGCCGACCGCACTTCCAGTCAAGGCCACGTGCTCGCAGGGCGAACAGACGTTCGCGTTCAGCACCACGAGTCTCATCCCCTGATTAAGTTCGCTGTTGTGGTGCCACTTCCTTGTACCCACAGCCCCCTCAATCCCCTCCCTTGTTACACGAGGGAGCATCTTCACAAGCACGGCGTTTCATTACAAGGACCCACCAACCCGTGAAGCCTGTAACAGACTGATGGGGCAAGTGCTGTTCGCGAGCACCTATGAAGGTCGGCACGGCACACGAGGGGGTGGGTGAGCCAGCACCATGCCCGGCCGCCTTTGTCTCTCTAGTGGCGAGGTTTACACACCGCACCAAGTACTCATTTGAGGCTGAGTCGACCTAGGGGAGGCCCAGGACCGGTTCAGATAATCGTCACTGGTGTTGGCCGTGAGCGGGAATCGAACTCGGGTCGCCAGGTTCATAGCGCAGCACGCTAACCGCTACACGACCGCTCCCCACACACACACACAGACACACACATCGCGTTCACACACGCGCGGCTGTTTAACATACCACATGCACTATTGTTGGATCGTCGCACGCAGTGAACACAACAACAGTGATAACACAATTATGGTTGACCATACAAGCTTTGTTACCATTCAATTAATCGAATGCCAGCAAAGCTTCACCATCTCATTATCACAACAGCCGCCACCTGGTCCCGCCGACTCAATGAACATCCCAAGTCCATTTGTAAAACCGCATTTATCAAGATATTAAAACAAAAAACTCTTACACGTATACATTCCGATCGCTCTAAAATTAAACGCGAGCAACGACGGCTAATGCGCGTGCGAGGCGGCATCGATATTCCAACGTTTGCGATTTCCCAAACTTAAAAAAAAACCTCACAACGAACCCCCCCTCCACGCCCGCCTCTCGCTCTGCCTCTGCTCGGTGAATCCGGGCAGGAGAGTGAACGAGGCACGTGACCCCGGGGTGCCTCTACCTGCAGGTTTTGCTGCTCTGGCCGCACTACGGAAGGTGGAGACCGAGGAGGCCGATGAGGAGGATGGAGATGGAGGATGGAGATGCTGAACACGCTGCTGTAAGCGCAGCGCTCATTTTAAAGCGTGGTGGGGCGCGGGCGGGGAGCAGAGGGGGCTTGGGGTGTGGGGGAAGGGCAGCCCCTCCCAACGCACACAAAGACAAAGAGAACCCGTATATACTCAATATACTTTTGGGGCAAGTGCTCTGGGCGCGCAGCGAGCACCTATGAAGGTAGGAACGACACACGAGGGAGTGGGTGGCTAGCAGCACGCCCGGCCGCCTTTGTCTCTCTCGTGGCGATGTTGACACACCGCATCAGGTACTCATTTGAGGTTGAGTCGACCTCGGTGACTGGTTGAGATAATAGCCACTGGTGTTGGCCGTGGGCGGGAATGGAAGTCACTGCACTCACTTGTGCGCTCTCCCTCGCGAGGCTGACACACACATCAACGCCACACACCTGTGCGCATACTCCACAATCACTCCGCACACGCACACCTGTGCGTACACTCCACACACACACACAACACACACCACACACACTCGACACCCACACACTCAAGACACACACACTCAAAACACACACACTCAACACACACGCCACACACACGCCACACACACACAAAACACACACCACACACACGCCACACAAACACCACACACACTCAACACACACACCACACACAACACACACACCACACACACACACTCAACACACACACCACACACACACACTCAACACACACACCACACACACACACTCTCAACACACACACCACACACACACCACACACACTCGACACACACACCACACACACACACTCGACACACACACACACTCAACACACACACCAAAGACAAAAATCCCCCTATAACTATAACAAACTGTTGGGGCAAGTGCTGTTAGCGAGCACCTATGAAGACCAGAACGGCACACGAGGGGGTGGGTGGGCAGCACAACGCCCAGCCGTCTTTGTCTCCCTAGCGGTAATGTTTTTACGCACCGTACCCGGTACTCGTTTGAGGCCGAGTCGACCTAGGGGAGGCTCAGGACCGGTTCAGATAATCGTCACTGGTGTTGGCCGTGAGCTGGAATCGAACTCGAGCCGCCAGGTTCGTAGCGCAGCGTAGCGCTAACCGCTACACTACCGCTCCCCACTAACCCCGACACTACCACACACCCAACATACACACACACCACACACACACTCGACACACACAAACCCAACACACACACACACACACCACACACACTCGACACACACACACCCAACACACACACACACACCACACACACACTCGACACACACACCCAACACACACACACCACACACACACACTCAACACACACCCAACACACACTCGACACACACACACACACCACACACACTCGACACACACACACACACTCGACACACACACACACTCGACACACACACACACTCGACACACACACACTCACAACCTGTGCGCGCCCAGCAGTCGCTGCTGCACGCATCTGATGCGTCGACAGCTCCGAGACCCAACACACCCGGGCGCCGATATCCGATTCACATCGTCCTCGTCAGCCACGATTAAAACCACTGCTGGGTAAACACCTCTCCTGCTAAGCCCTCCGCCACATCTCACGATCCTGAGATGTCACAACTATCCGTGCAGCACATGCACACGAGCGGACGCCACCGCCCCGTCTCCTCGCTGGGCATCCCATCGGCGGCAGAGGTTCACTCCTTTGGCTGACACCCCGACTGTAGTCTCGACCGAGGACCCGCCATCCCTCCTAGCGACGAGTCCTGCTCAATCAAATCTGACTCTCTCTCCTTGGCGATTCGGACGGGTCGTTGAACCTTTCGCGTGCCACTCACTGACTATAACCCGCGCGCTCATCTCTGCGTCTCTCTCTCTGAACCCGCAGCAAACTCCGTACGCGTGAATCAAACTCTCCGCGCTCACTGTGACACTTCTCAGCGCGCGATGACCCCCCCCCCCCCCCTCTCATTTCCCTCGTTCGTGTCCGCGTCTCTGATCCCCGTGGTCACACGAGGCGAAACACAGGCGGTCATTGAAAGGGAGCGGTAACAGAAACAAATTAAAATAAAATAAACTTCCGAGAGGACGAGGGGCAGGTTCGTTGGCGAGGAGTGGAGAGCGGCCGTCGCGGATTACATCCACGTGGGCGCGGGTCGGCGATGGGCGTGGGTTGAGGTTGTTGCGTTCCGCGTGCGGGGTTCTCCAGGGACTCGCGTCAAACACGTGCCGCGGTCGCCTTAACCTCGCGTCTTCTTTAATCAGCAGGGTACGTTCATGTTATTGGTTCTTTCGGTAAAGTCACGTAGAAGGGAAACAATAAAATAATAAAAATATAAAACAATAAAATTCTCACGACGTTTCGACTGCAACACAGTCATCACACCTGATGATAATCACACCTGATGATAATCAGGTGTGATGATGAACAATAAAAATATAAAACAATAAAATTCTCACGACGTTTCGACTGCAACACAATCATCACACCTGATGATGATCAGATGTGATGATGATCAGGTGTGATGATTGTGTTGCAGTCGAAACGTCGTGATAATTTTATTGTTTTATATTTTTATTATTTTATTGTTTCCCTTCTACGTGACTTTACCGAAAGAACCAAGAATATGACTCTCTGCAGTCACGAAAGCTTTAAATCAAAAGGATAGATTTAAAGCTTTCGTGACTGCAAGGATCCATACTTTTTGGTTCTATTCCACGTGACTTTACCCAATAGAACCAAAGAGTATCAAAAGGATACGTTCATTTTTGATTCACTTATACCCACGTTAAAGCCTCTGCATTGTTACAGAGTGGTCCAGATGTATTGTACCCCCCCCCCCCAGACCACAAATAAATTGTCCGCTTACATGTTTTACCCTTTGAATATTCATTCCTGTTTTAAATAAACATTACTTTTAAAAAAAGTATTGAGAGTTAAATGTGAGTCACAAGACATCTGGATTACCCTGTACGTTAGTATTTCACTCAAGGCAATGATATGAGCACTATTTTTTTCTCTTTGTATTTAGGTCACATTGGAAAATCATGATGTGGAATAATTCATGTGCGATCATCATGAATACGTCAATGAGCCGAGTGTAGTGGCGCACGCCTGGGGGCTGGTGGGCCACGGAGAGATTTGTGGAACTCTAAAACCCGTTGGAATTTCAAGGTGCCCAGCAGATGGGAGTACAACAGGCGCATTTGAATCAATCTCTCGGACAAAGGGCGTGAATTTGCATACTGATGTATGCACATTTAAATATGTTCATGAGTATGGATGGAATCAATTCCGATACTTGAAATTCTAAATCACTCAATGACCAAACGACCGACAGTTCGTTTAATCTCGCCAGATGGACAAAGCTAAGCAGGGCTTTCAGCCTGGAGAGTAGATGAAGGTGCGAGCACCATCCACAAACAACGCTGCAATTAGGACTACGTGTCTGCCGGAGTAGAGCGCGACGTCGCATGGCTATGCCATCACGCCTATGCTTCCCGTCTACACCAATTGGCACGGCGAGCATGGTGGAGTACGGTCAAATAACGCCCACAAACCCCCGTGATCTCATCTTGTAGTGTGGGTATGCTGAACTTCTTTCGCACCGTACGTAGCCAACCGTGCTAATCGGAGGTGCGGGGGAAGGACAACTCATTTAAACACAAAAAAAATTCCTAAAGAAATTAGTTTTCAATCTAGATGATTTAAAAGTGCATAGCTTCTGTGGGTTCCTAACGTCGGCAGGAGGAGCGTTCCAGACGGCCGCAGAAGCGCATCTGAGAGCGCGCGATGCGGTGGCCGCCTTTGTTCGATGGATAGCCAGAAGTTGCTGTGATAATGACCGAAGTTCTCGTGATGTTGTTTTTGCTCCTTGACGAGATCGGCATGGTATGTTGGTTCATTCGTGGCAGGCACTTTGTGTGTGCGCGCGTGCGCGTGATGAGCGTGACCGTACGTGGACTGACAAAAGCTTATGTGCATAGTAAACAGATGTCCTTGTAAAGGCGGTGAGCGCGGGACACTCGGCCTGGGGCTGCTGCACCTGTGGGGGGTGAAGATGAATTCAAATTTGCCTCTGAATGTGAGGCGTGGCAGCACGTCGGCGTGTGAGCAGCGACTGTGGTTTGGGGGTGTGGGGGCCGCGCGCAGGTTGTGATGGAGATGACAACAGATGACGATGTCATTGCGGTTCCGAAAGGTAAAGGTGCAGGCCCTGTAAACTTCTCGCTCGCGCTACTGCTGGTTGAAAGGGACCTCCAGAAGGGCCTCTTGCCCTCACTCCTCGCCCACGCTACACTTCCAGTCATGCGGTGATTGAGTTCGTGTCTGCCTCTCGCTCACTGACTTCTGCGGCCGTCTGGAACGCTCTTCCTCCCCGGTTATAGGACGCCACTGGAAGCTATGCCCTTTTAAATCATGTAGATTAAAAACTCATTTCTTTACAACTGATTTGTGTGTTTCGTTTGTTATCCTTCCCCTGCACCTTCAATTAGCACGGTTGGCTTTGTACGGTGCGAAAGAAGTTGAACATACAGTACGTACATACCAGTGAGAGCTCAGTCATTATCTAAATCATAGGCAATCAGTGACGAGATAATGCAACGCCAATTTCAAAACGATTTTATGTTTAAGCCCAGATGTTCTGAACCATCAATTCTTAATTATGCACTAAGCCTGCCATGTTGTCTTTAGAATCAAACAATCACACATTTAAATATCAAATACATTGGACTAGTGGAGCGATGACGCCACTCAGGTCACCGGCTGGGTGATTTGAGTGGCAAACAAAACAAAACGACCCCCAACAACAATCACGGCGTGCCGAGGCGTTCACTCGGCAGAGGACCGACACAAAGGTCTGGATGCGCATCATTGCGCGTTCCGTGCAATTGATTAGAGGAGCGTTGTGTGTAGATTTGAAGCTTTCGTGACTGCAGGAATCCATACTCTCTGGTTCTTTCGGTAAAGTCACGTAGGTAGAAAATAAAATAAAAATAAAATATTTCATACCTACGTGACTTTACCGAAAGAACCAGAGAGTATGAGCGCTGTGTGGTCCAGGGTTTGG